GGGGGGGACGGCGGCGCTGACATGGCCGGCACCTTGTTCCCCCGCTGATGAATTGGATCAGGAAGTAGATGGCTCCGCTCAACCCTTTTCCTTTTTCTTCCCTCCCCTTTTTCGAACGGTCGTCTCTCTATCATTCGAGCAGGAGCGACGCAATATTTTCGTCTCTTTCACGGCCCCCTAATCGAGTTCCAGACATATCATGTAGAAGGTTTACATTTATCATAGCCTCCGCAACTACTTTGTATTATCCGGTTCACAGAAGCTCGGGGTTTCGAGTGAGGTATCGTGCAAAATGTACCCCAACAATCCCCTAAAACGGCCTTTGTGCAATAAGCGGCCTCTTTGCCCCGCCGATACATACCTCCGACCTTTTAGCCGACCCGCGGTGCCACATTCCCCGACCCTTGGCATTGCTGCGCCTCAGTGTTATGATTCAATTAACGGCGGTGGTGGAGCCGATTAGGAGAGGCTGCTGCTGGAAGCCGTGCCGCCGAGCCGAGCCCGCAGCCTGAGCGCGGATTCCGCCGTGCGAGTCTGAGAATGCCGTGTTCTTCGCGACTCTTGCTATCGGACACGTGTCTAATGCCCCCCCGCTGCCGATGGCTAGAGAGAGAATGCCGGCGGCGGCGGTGCGACATCGACAAAAAGGAGAGACGTCGCGAGAATTTCTTTCTGGAAGTTGTAATTGTTCCAGCCTGCGCCCGAAGGGGTAGAGAGCGCGGCGCGCCTGTCGTTTGAAAATACCCCTTTTTTTCGCGCTGCCCGCACCTGCCATCTATCGGCAGCAGTCGGTGTTGGTCGCCGAAACGGTGAGTTCCTAGTCCAAATATCGCACGCGTCGGTGTCCTCTATCGCGTTCATGGTTTGTGGTTTGTTCTTTGTTCTTTAATTGCTCGTCTAAATTGTCAACATGTTTCGCGTGTAATTGAAGTTGTGAAATTGTGATTGAGAAGAAAGAAAACCTAACGCCAACGCTGCTGAACGGAACTTGGTGAGTACGCCAATGAGGTTAGGTGTGGTGGTGTCGGTGATAGGTACAATAATGAATGGTATGAATACAAGTGGAGAGGAAAATGAACGGTTGGGATCATTTCTGAACAAGGTTTTGTCAGTGTGAAACAAAACAAACCAACGAAGACCCTTTAACCCTTTAACCTCTTTTAGTGTGGTATTGAGAACTTTTCATATCCGAAACATAGTAGGACAATGCAATGGTCTCATTTCTAACAGCAAGTCAAGGTCACTAACTAGTTATTGGTACATTTTTTGTCTTATCTTCGTTGATGAATTCAATAGGACTTCTCGGGTGAGTTCAGAAAACCATCATACTCAATCGTGGACCTAAAAGTTAGATTGAATGCTATCTAAGTTTAATGTTTCACTGCATATCCATCATCTGATTATCACTAATGGGATAAGGTGTTTGCAATTGTCACAAACTTCTGGGCCCTAGGGCAGGCCAATGCGTGCATGGACCGTTTGCTGGCTACTTCCTTTTCGTTCCGTCACCCCTGCCCATTCATTCCAATGTCTATTTACATATGACCTTGTCTGCTGCATCTTTCTCTTTCCTTCTGTATCTACTGTTTGACCTTGTGCCCTCTGCAAAGCTGAAAGCGAGAAATCCCTGGAGTGTCTTTGCTCTAAAGCGATCACTTGGTGCACAAGCCGACACTAAACTTCTGATAGTGATGGTACTGGCGATACTTTACTAGCAAGGCTGAATGCATGGGGGACAATACACCCCAACCCAAATCTGAGGAACTGTTGCTCACAGAGTCTTTGTAAACCACAGAAATAAAAAGAAGACTGTTGCCTTCACATTGGGCATTCCCTCCCTCCCCCCCTCTTTTATTCAAACCCTACTCCAGAGGGACAAGCGGTGCAGCAGGTGCGAGGGGCCTTCGGGTGCGCCAAAATGATGCAAATTGCGATATGAACGTGCAAAAGCATCGGGTAGTCGGTGCCTAATCTGCCGTCGGGTGAGTTACCTGGTGCCGGCCGGGGCCCCGCCCGCCCCCAAGGGCCCAGAGGTGTGTCTGATTGGCCGGAGCCCCCTCTGGTACCCTCTGGGGCCCCGGGGGCAGGACAGGATGCGGCCCGGGCCCGCTCTGCTCTGCGCTCTGCACGCTCTTTGCTTTGGGAAGGACGAGTCACGCAACGGCGTGCCTTACTATACTGCAACAACAACGTGTACTGTACTCCCCGTCCGTAAGAGTTGTTACAACTCTCGCGAGGAGCGACCCATAACCTCGTTCATGCGATGATGAAGTGCAGCAGTATGAGAAATACTACACCCCTCCCTGCATAGTGCTCGGCGGCGGCGCGGCTACCCGCTACCGCACTTACTTGCTTCACATGCTCACCGGCGGCGACCCCTGACCCCACCGGGGTGGAATTAACCAAAGTGCGGCGAGTGACCAAACGCGGTGGGGTCAGGCGGGCGGGCGCGGTCTGCGGACCACTCCTTTCTC